GTAAAAATGTGTTGTTTCGTGTAGCCAACTTCATTCATAATCTCAGCTAGATCTTCTGGATAACTGACTGCAGCTTCTCCGTCAGTAAGACGGCACTTTACCTTGCCCCTTTATATTATGGGGATGGCTTCTTTCCTTAAACCTCAAGAACCAAGATCTGTAGCTTCAGATTTTTCTTCTGCAGCTTCCCCACCTCTCTCAGTCTTCACAGAATTAGAGATAGGGCCTTGGTCTGGATTAGGCTTTGGCTTAAGGGAACGTTGTGGCTGGTTTGATCTCTCCAGACCACTAAAACTACGTCCATGTCAGCAGTAAGCCAGTCTCACTTTTTTTTATCATTCATGTGTTTGCTGGAGCAGCCCTTTAAGTTTCCTTCAGAAACGTTTTCTTTGCATTCTCAGCCTGGGTAACTTTAGCTCAAGAGGCTTAGCTTGTGGGCTTTTTTTTTTTTTTTTTAAGACAGGGTCTCACTCTCTTGCCCAGGCTACAGTGCAGTGGTGTGATCACCGCTCACTGCAGCCTCAACTTCCTGTGACCAAGTGATCCTCCCACCTCAGCCTCCTCCTAAGTAGCTGGGACCACAGGTGTGTACCACCACACTCAGCTCCTTTTTAAATTTTCTGTAGAGATGGGGTCTCCCTGTTTTGCCCAGGCTGGTCTCAAACTCGTAGGCTCAAGTGATCCTCTCACCTCGGCCTCCCAAAGTGCTGGGACTACAGGCATGAGCCACCATCCCTGGCCCTGTCTCACCTTTTGACATGCCTTCCTCACTGTGTTTAATCATTTCTAGCTTTTAATTTAAAGTGAGAGGCACGTGACTCTTCCTTTCCCTTGAACACTTAAAGGCCATTGTAGGGTTATACACTGACCGAATTTCAATATTGTTATGTCTCAGGGAATAAGAAGGCCCCAGGAAAGGAGGAGAGGTGAGGGGATGGCCAGCTGGCAGATCAGTCAGAACACACACAGCATTTATCGGTCAAGTTTGCCATCTTATATAGGTGTGGTTCGTGGCACCCCTAATTACGGTAGTTAAAGATCACTGATCACAGATCACCATAAAAAATGTGATAACTGTAAAAGTTTGAAATGCCACAAGAGTTACCAAAATGTGACGCAGAGACACAGAGTGAAAACACGCTGTTGGGGAAAAATGGCCCTGATAGACTTGCTTGACGCGGGGTCGCCCCACATCTTCCATTTGCTAGAAACACAATCTCTGCAAGTTGCAACAAAGCAAGGCACAATACAATGAAGTCTGCCTCGCTGGGTTTGGTGGCTCACATCCATAATCCCAGCACATTGGGAGGCCAAGACAAGAGGATCCCTTGAGCCCAGCCAGGAGTTCAGGGCCAGCCTGGGCGACATACGGAGACCCCATCTCCAAAACAAAACAAAGCCCGTTTGTATTTATTGGGTTTACTCTCAGTCTCTCCCGCAGAGAGATGGGGCTGGCTTGTTATTAGTGTTAAGTGAATGTTCCTCAAGTGGAAAAATAAGGTCTTAGCCAGTGCCTGCCCTTTGCTGTGCACACCCCGATCCAGCTCAGCAGAAAACAAGATACAGCAAGAGAATACTGATCTATAAGTCAGATTTTGAGGAACCCAAATTAGTATCAGAAAACTGGTAGGAGAAGGGAAAAATAAATCGAATTAAAAGTTGAATGGACCATGTGCAGTAGCTCATACCTAGAAATCCAGCATTTTGGGAGGCCGAGGTGAGAGGATCACTTGAGGCCAGGAGTTCAAGACCAGCCTGGGCAACATAGCAAAATCCCATCTCTGCAAAAAAAAAAAAATTTAAGTTTTCTGAGTGTGGTGTTGTACACCTTTAGTCCCAGCTACTTAGGAGGCGGAAGTGGGAGGATCACTTGAGCCCAGGAGGTTGAGGCTGCTGTCAGCTTTTATTGCACCACTGCACTCAAACCTGGGTGACAGAGTAAGTCCCTGTCTCTAAAAAATAAATAATAAATTCGTTTTTTGTAACGTTGTATGTCATGGCCCCTGCCTACTCTGGATTCATGGCTTATTGCTTGACCCTCACCATCCAAATCCCAGTGGTGACACCATGTCATTTCTTGAATTTTCCAAGCCTCTTTCAGTCCCAATTTCTCTGTCATGACTGCTCTCTCAGCCTGGAAAGTTCTCTCCTCACTGGCCAGATTTCTCCTCCTCATCTATGGGAATTTGGCTTGAAGTAGGGGGTATCCCCAGTCCCTGAACTAGTTAACATGACCTACTGTGTGCCCCTCAAAGCCATTGCCTTCCTAGCTGAGAAGGCGTCACACCTGCAACAGGTTCATTCATTGTGTGCATGTTTTTCTTAAATACTTCTCTTCTGCATGAGCTCCATGGGGCAGGAATAGTCTCATGTGTCACTCTACCCAGCACATAGGATGTGCTCAGATGCGCACTTGTGGATGGTGGAAAAATAGGTCAGCTCAACCTAATATGCCCATCTTTCCTTTAGGAGTAATCTTGAGGGAAAAAAAAGTTGGGAATATGCTTTGTGTTAGTTTAGGATGACCCAGAAGAGACCCTGAAACAAGAATTTAGGGCAATCCTCGTGCAAGTAGTTCATCTGAGAGGGGACCCCAGAAAGGGTTGGAGAGGGAGAAGGAGGTGGGGCAAGGAAGGGTGAGTTGTCCCGTGGGCACCTGAACTCAGTCCGGCTGGAAGCCCATGTGGAACTCACATCTTAAATAATCCAGAATGTGGGGGGGAGCCGGGGTATTGATCCACAGACTCCCAGAAATCTTTGTTGAGGGCTGCTCCTTAAGGGCATTCATTCCCTGGAGCTGCCCCAGCTTTGGAGAAAGCCCTGAGGCAAGATGTCCAGATACCAGTTGGCCAAAGACTGAAATGTTAAGACCCAAGCCCCTGGATAAAACTGAAAAATCAAACCAAGTGTGGTGGTTCCTGCCTATAATCCCAGCTACTCAGTAGGCTAAAGCAGGAGGATTGCTGGAGTCCAGGAGTTCAAGGCTACAGTGAGCTATGATTGCACCACTGCATTCCAGCCTGGGCATCAGAGCAAGACCCCATGTCTAAAATAAAAAATAAACTGAAAAATCCCCAAGTTATTTGCTGTGGTCGACCTTCCATTAACCACAGAGCCCTCCGGTACTCCGCATTTCTTGTCCATGATATGAAGCTCTGATGACAATCTCTTTTATTGTGTTGTGCCCTGACCACACACTATACATCACTTAGCGCTGAAATGGACATGTTCAGGAAACAGGGCCAGGAGGGACCCTGCGTTTCAACAGCAGAGGCCTCACAATGGGGTCTTGCCAGGAGGGTTTCTACAGAAGCCCCATCCCACCTACTGTTACCATCCTTACTAACTTGCATTTACAAAAGGGACTCTTTGTGACCAGAGGCTTGGGGTCTGTGGCTGCCTTCTAGCTAGCTGATGCCGCTAGTCCACACGGGCAGGATCACACTCATTTTCTTTCTTTCTTTCTTTTTTTTTTTTTTTTTTTTTCCTGTGGTGGAGTCTCGCTCTGTTGACCAGGCTGGAGTGCAGTGGCGTAATCTCGGCTCACTGCAACCTCCGCCTGCTGGGTTCAAGCAAGTCTACTGTGTCAGCCACCCGAGTAGCTGGGACTACAGGCGCCCGCCACCATGCCCAGCTAATTTTTGTATTTTCAGTAGAGACGGGGTTTCACCATGTCAGCCAGGTTGGTCTCGAACTCCTGAATTTGTGATCCACCCGCCTTGGCCTCCCAAAGTGCTGGGATTACAGGCGTGAGCCACTGCGCCTGGTCCATTTTTTTGTTTTATACACCTGTGTGCCTAGCACCGTGCTGACCACTTTATCAGCTTACTGAAATCCTCACAACCCTTGGAGGTATTGATACTATTGTTATCCAGATTATACAGAAAGGGGAAACTGAGGCACAGTGCAGGGAAGTCACTTGCCCGAGGCCACCCAACTGGAAAGTGAGAGTTGGGATTTGAACCCATGCAGGCTGGGCTCTTAACACTGAACTACTTTCCTTCCATTTGTTAAAGAGCCACAAACCAGTCAGGGTGCAGTGGTTCACACCTGTAATCCCAGCACTCTGGGAGGCCAACGGGGGGGTGGATCACCTGAGGTCAGGAGTTCAAGACCAGCCTGGCCAACATGGTGAAACCCCATCTCTACCAAAATACAAAAAAAGTAGCCAGGCATGATGGCAGTGCCTGGTAATGCCAACTACTCAGGAGGCTGAGGCAGGAGAATCCTTTGAACCCAGGAGGTAGGGGTTGCAGTGAGTTGAGATCATACCATTCCACTCCAGCTTGGGCAACACAGCGAGACTCTTTCTCAAATAAATTGATAAAATAGGCCAGGCATAGTGACTCACGGCTGTAATCCCAACACTTTGGGAGGCTGAGGAGGGCGGATCACCTGAGGTCAGGAGTTCAAGACCAACCTGGCCAACATGGTGAAACCCCCATCTCTACTAAAAACACAAAAATTAGCCGGGCATCATGGCGCATGCCTGTAATCCCAGCTACTCGGGAGGCAGAAAATTGCTTGAACCTGAGAGATGGAGGTTACAGTGAGCCGAGATCATGCCACTGCACTCCAGCCTGGGCGACAGAGCGAGACTCCATCTCAGAAAAAATAAAAATAAAGAGCCACAAACCCCGAAAGGTCTGCCATTCCCCCAGGGCCCCAAGCCACCCCACAATCCATTGTCATTGTAGCTTGTGAAATGTACTGAATGTCACCCCAATCATAAGCCATGGGGGGCGGCTTCCATTTCTCTCATTGCAACATTTGGGGAGTGTGAACCATCTGGGGGAGTCTTCATAAGTCACCTTTTATCCCTTGAGGCAGGTACTGTTATGACCATTTTACAGGTGACAAAACTGAGGCCAGTGGTGTCAAGTCCCCAGCCTGTGGCCACTCAGTCAATACAGGATGGCTCGGAATCCCAAGCACCCCTGCCCTGCTGTCTGACCCCCGAAGCCCACCCTCTGTTCTCCATTGTGGCTTCTTTCTTTCAGCATCTTGGCGACAGTTGGGACAGAGTTTGACCTGCGGACGCTGAGGGCAGTTCGAGTGCTGCGGCCGCTCAAGCTGGTGTCTGGAATCCCAAGTGCGTGAGTTTCCGACCCTGACAAGGGCTTTGCTCAGGGGCCCTGGGAACCCTCAGTTTCCCCTATGCACAACATCTCGGGAGGCCACCGCCCCACCAGCCTATATGAGGGCAGTCTCCTCTTTGGGATTCCCTATGGGGCCCCCTAGGAACATGGCTGCAGCTCCCCATGAGCTCCTGAAAGCAAGCTAGGAGCCACACCCATTTATTGAGCACCTACTGTCTATCAGGAGCCATGCTAAGCACCACACGTGATCTCATTCAGTACTCACAGCCCTATGAAGTCGATAGGACTCATGTCTCTATTTTATAGACGGGGAAACTGAGGCTCAGAGTGGCTGAAAAATTGGAGCAGGGTTTTGTGGCTGAGAAGTGGCAGAACTAGGAGTGAGCAAGTGTGATTCCACGCCTGGGCGGTAACACTGGTGGCAGTGACCGTTCCCATTTGCCGAGTGCCTGCTGTGTACAGGGCACTGCAGAGAGGACTTTACATGCATTACCTTATGTCATCCTCACAGTCACCCAGTGAACACCCATTTTTCAGATGAGAAGGTTGAGGCTCAAGGAGGTTAAATCACTGACCTGAATTCTTGCAGGTGGACAGTAATGAGCTCTAAAATTCATACTCATTCCTTGCCACTTTCTCATTCTGCATGGATGCATCTACTCCCCCTTTGGGGTGGCCGCCATATGCAGGGTCAAGATTAAGTAAAGGTTCAGCCAAAAAACTGTGAAAAGCAAAAATGAAACAGGGCTGTCCTTTTCTATCTTCTTGTCTTGGTTAATAATAATGGTTTAGTCAGGCGTGGTGGCTCATGCCTGTAATACCAGCACTTTGGGAGGATCACTTGAGGCCATAAGTTCAAGATCAGCCTGGGCAACATCGTGAGACCCCATATCTACAAAAAAAATTTTTTTTTAGAAATTAGCCAGCTTGGCTGGGCACAATGGTTCATACTTGGAATCCCAGCACTTTGTGAGACAGAAGCGGGCAGATAGCTTGAGCTCAGGAGTTAACCAGCATGGAGAACATGGCAAAACCCCGTCTAAAAAAAAAAAAAAAAAAAAAAAAATTAGCAGGCATGGTGGTGCACACCGAAGGCCCAGCTACTTAGGAGCCTGAGGCAGGAGGATCACTGAGCCCAGGAGGTCACGGTTGCATTGAGCTGTGATCGCATCACTGCACTCCAGCCTGGGCGTCACAGTGAGACCTGTCTTAAAATGAGACCAAAAAAAAGTTAAAAAGTTACAAAGCACTTATTATGTGCCAGGCATTATTCTAAGTATTTCAATTCTTTTTTTTTTTTTTTTTTTTTTTTTTTTGAGACGGAGTTTCGCTCTTGTTACTCAGGCTGGAGTGCAATGGCGCGATCTCGGCTCACCGCAACCTCCGCCTCTTGGGTTCAGGCAATTCTGCCGCCTCAGCCTCCTGAGTAGCTGGGACTACAGGCACGCGCCACCATGCCCAGCTAATGTTTTGTATTTTTAGTAGAGACGGGGTTTCACCATGTTGACCAGGATGGTCTCGATCTCTTGACCTCGTGATCCACCCGCCTCGGCCTCCCAAAGTGCTGGGATTACAGGCTTGAGCCACCGCGCCCGGCCGAGTATTTCAATTCTTTAAAGCCATTTATCTTCCCAGCAAGCCTGTGAAGTAGTCTCTGTTATTAACGCCATTTTACAATTTATTGGCTTCCTTCTTCAGGTTCATTGCTACCCAAGTTTAAAGAGTAGGATTTCCCGCCGGTCGAGGTGGCTCATGCCTGTAATCCCAGCACTTTGGGAGGCCGAGGAGGGCAGATTACAAGGTCAGGAGTTCAAAACCAGCCTTGCCAACATGGTGAAACACCATCTCTACCAAAAATATAAAAATTAGCTGGGCATGGTGGCACGTGCCTGTAGTCCCAGCTACTCAGGAGGCTGAGGCAGGAGGATCGCTTGAACCTGGGAGACGAAGGTTGCAGTGAGCTGCGCTCCAGCCTGGGAAACAGAGTAAGACTCCGTCTCAGGGAAAAAAAAAAAAAAAAAAAATTTCCCAGAGGATCACCAGCAGGGCCGTTTTGTAGAAAGAAGACACTTCTATCCAAGGTCTCTGTGAGATCCCAGTAGATGCCCGTGTCATATTAAATTAAGAGCCATCCCAAATCTAATAGTAAAAAGAGCCAGGTGCAGTGGCTCACACCTGTAATCCCAGCACTTTGGGAGGCCAAGGTGGGACCATTGCTTGAGGCCAGGAGTTCAAGACCAGCCTGGGCAACAAAGTGAGACCCTGTCTCTAAAAAGAAATACGAAAACTAGCCAGGCATGGTGGTGTGCACCAGTAGCCTCAGCTACAGGAGGGAGACTGAGGTGGGAGGATCGCTTGAGCCTGTGAGTTTGAAGCTGCAGTGAGCTGTGATGGTGCCACTGCACTCAGCCTGGGCAACAAAGTGAGACCCTGTCTACCTCCCAAAAATATATATATATATATACACACAGTAGTGACAAGAGTCTCTGTTTAATGACCACATATGACACACCAGGCACATCACTGTGTATGAACTCTCTCATTTAATCCTGTGCGGGAGATACTGTTCCAGCATCTATTTACAAATGGAGAAGCTGAGGCTTGGAATGGAGACCTGACTTGCTCAAAGTCATCTCACTAGTAATCGGATGACTAGGTCATTCCCTTGAAGCAGAGACTTAGGGTGGGTGTTCAGACGCACCTGCTTTATTGGGGGATGGCTCTCAGGAGAGACAGCACAAGGTCAGCAGGGTGGACAGGGGAATGGATGGAGCAGGGTCAGCAGGGTGGTCAGGGGAGTAGATGGAGCAGGGAGGTCAGCAGTGTGGACAGGGGATGGATGGAGCAGAGAGGTCAGCAGGGCGGACAGGGGAGTGGATGGAGCAGGGAGGTCAGCAGGGCGGACAGGGGAATGGATGGAGCAGGGAGGTCAGCAGGGTGGACAGGGGAGTGGATGGAGCAGGGAGGTCAGCAGGGCGGACAGGGGAGTGGATGGAGCAGGGTTGCAGCTTCAGCTGGAGTGTGTGTGGCACCGGAGTTGTCCTTCCATGTGCAGCAAGGATGCTGGCCTCTCACTTCTCTGGTCAGCTACTGGGGATGGGAGGTAGAGACACAGTCGCTCCCTGGTGATGTCACTTTTGATCACCAAGGGCAGCTCTACTGAGAAGAGGGGCAGCTGGGAGGCATGAGCAACCAGCATCCATGGCAGCTGGAGGCGGGTACACCAGAGAGAAAATGGGATCTTGGCTGGACACCGAGAGAGTCCAGCACCACACTGCCCACATTCCATTTCTAAGGCCTTGGAGTGGCACGGACCCTCGAGCTGTCCTGACAGTTTCCCTCTCTTACTGTGGCCACCACCCATCAGGAGCCATGGGATGTTCCTCCAATCAAGAAGCAAAGCCCCAAGCTGTCTGTTTGAACCTTCGTTTTGACCGTAGATGTTCCTAGTAGATAGCACAGTGCTTACAAACACAGGATGTTGATATCATTCAGACCTGAGTTAAAAGCTTCAAGAAAAAAAAAAAAAAAGGTAGTGGAGCCAGGCTTGGTGGTATGTGCCTGTAATCCCACCTACTCGGGAGGCTGAGGCAGGAGGCTCATTTGTGCCCAGGAGGTCGAGGCTGCAGTGAGCCATGATCATGCCACTGTACTCCAACCTGGGTGACAGAGCAAGCCCATCTCAAAAAAAAAAAGAAAGAAAAAAGCCAATGATGGGCATAGAAATACTAAGGGTCTTCCTCTGACACCCAGGCTGGAGTGCCATGTGTAATCACAGCTCAGTGCAGCCTCTGCCTCCCCAGGCTCAAGCAGTCCTCCCATCTCAGCATCCCAAATAGCTGGGACTCCAGGCACAGATCACCATGCCCAGCTAATTATTTTCACATATTTTGTAGAGATGGAGTTTCGCCTTGCTGCTCAGGCTGGTCTCAAACTCCTGGGCTCAAGTGATCCACCCATCTCAGCCTCCCAAAGTGCCAGTATTACAGGTGTGAGCCACCACACCTGGCCAGCTGTCATTATGATGAACATTCTTGGAGTCTTACAACAGTGAAATTTTTAGTGTAGGATGCGAATTTCAGTATTATCAACTTAACCGCTTCCTCTCCCAAAAGGATTTGAAGCCCAGAGTCATTCAGCCACCATGAATGAACCATTTGTTAGATGAGAGGCTACTGGAGGCTGAACTTGGTAGGATAAGAGCTTCCATGGGGTCCCTGATTGACAGCAATCCCCCCGCATTCAGGTCTTCAGATGCCCACTTGGATGTGTCTTCCATCCCACTCTGTCCCTTTGGGGACTGTTCCCTCTCTTGATTCACTGCCATCTTTCCGAATTGGGTTGCTCTGAGCACAGAAAGCAACATCAACACGTGGGCAAACACAGGACTTCGTGTCAGATCGACAGGGTTCAAATCCTAGTTCTGCCATTTCTTTTTCTTTCTTTTTTTTTTTTTTTTTAAGATGGAATCTTGCTCTGTCACCCAGGCTGGAGTGCAATGGCACAATCTTGGCTCACTGCAACCTCTGCCTCCTGGGTTGAAGAGATTCTCCTGCCTCAGCCTCCCAAGTAGCCGGGATTACAGGCACCTACCACCATGCCCAGCTAATTTTTTGTATTTCTAGTAGAGATGGGGTTTCACCATGTTGGCCAGGCTGGTCTCGAATTCCTGACCTCAGGTAATCCACCCTCCTCAGCTTCCCAAAGTGCTGGGATTATAGGCATGAGCTACCACACCTGGCTAATTTTTTGTATTTCTAGTAGAGATGGGGTTTCACCATGTTGGCCAGGCTGGTCTCAAACTCCTGGCCTCTGGTGATCCGCCCTCCTCAGCCTCCCAAAGTGCTGGGATAACAGGCATGAGCCACCACGCCTGGCCTCTTCTGCCATTTCTCATACACTTGGATGAATCATAGCGTCTCTCTCAGCCTTGATTCCCACGTCTGTAAAATGGGAGTGACTTTTCACATATGGCCGCCTCAGGGGTTTGTCAGTAGAAGCCAGTGAAATAACGTAGAGTCTGGTTCCTCAGGGCTGAAATTGGGACCACTGACTGCTTTCCTACTGGAAGCTGCAGCCAGCCTGTATGGCGCCCTTGTATGAATTAGGAAAAGAAGCCCCCTCTTGGCAGAAAAGAAAAAAAAATAAGAAAACGGCTCCCTCTTCTGGGTGCCAGTTGCCCAACACCCACGGCTCCAAAAGCAATACATTTCCACCCTTTTCTTGCCAAAAGATCATCAAATAGAACAGCATATGTTCCATAAAATACCTTTATTAAATACTTTAAAGTTGGCTGGACTCGGGGGCTCACGCCTGTAATCCCAACACTTTGGGAGGCAGAGGCGGGAGGCTCGCTTGAGGTCCAGAGTTCAAGACCAGCTTGGGCAATATAGTGAGACCCTGTGTCTATAAAATATGTATATATTTCTTGGAGACAGGGCCTTACTCTGCTGCTCAGGCTGGAGTGCCGTGACACAGTCATAGCTCACTCAGTCTCCTGGGCTCAAGCCATCCTCCTCCCTCAGTCCCTGGAGTAGCTAGGACTACACGCATGAACTCTCATGCCTGGCTAATTAAAATAAATAAATAAATACTTTATAGTTAAAAGTGCTTTTTAAAAAAAAAGAGAGAGAGAAAGAATTGGGGCCAGGCATGGTGGCTCACACCTATAATCCTAGCACTTTAGGAGGCTGAGGAGTTTGAGCGCTTGGAGGCCAGAGGTTTCAGACCAGCCATAGCAAGACCCCCATCTCTACAAAAAAGTTTTAAAACTTAGCCATGCGTGATGGTGCATGCCTGTAGTCCTAGCTACTCCAGGGACTGAGTCAGGAAGATCGCTCGAGCTCAGGAGATTGAGGCTGCAGTGAGCTATGATCGTGTCACTGTACTCCAGCCTGGGCAGCAGAGTAAGACCCTGTCTCAAAGGAAAAAAACCTAGGAAGGGCTGTTCTATGACAAGGACCAGGCTCACGTGGTGCTTCCTTCACCATTGCCCCATCCCCAGGCTCCTGCCTGCTTGAGGTTCCTCAGGGACACACCTGCTTTATTTGGGAGAGAGCTTGGCATCTTGGTGGCGGGGTTTGGGGGTGCTTGCTCATGGGCTTATGGGGCCTCTCTCTGTGTCCTCCCAGGTTTACAAGTCGTCCTGAAGTCGATCATGAAGGCGATGATCCCTTTGCTGCAGATCGGCCTCCTCCTATTTTTTGCAATCCTTATTTTTGCAATCATAGGGTTAGAATTTTATATGGGAAAATTTCATACCACCTGCTTTGAAGAGGGGACAGGTAGGTCCACAGAGCACGATGTGTTTTTCCAGTTTTCTCCTTCAGGGACAAGCTCTGGGGAGGGTTGTGCAGAGGCCTGCGTCTTTCTCCTGGTAGCTGTAGGACCATCTCCTTCAGAGAGCACTGCAGGAGAGGCAGCGGGTGAAATAGCCTCTGAGATCTTAGCTGTGGGTTGGGGTTCCACAGAAGGTAACCCAGCAGAGAAAGAGTTTATCCGGGAACAATCTCAGGAAGGACCATTGGGAGAATGAGGAAGTGAGACAGAAAAAGGAAGGGGTCTGTTAAAAGGTGTGTTATCAAGCAGGTTATCACCGCAACTGGGATTGGACCCTTCTGGGCAGCTCTGGGAGACAGCAGAGAACATACACCTAGCTGGGCGTGGTGGTCACGCCTGTAATCCCAGCACTTTGAGAGGCTGAGGTGGGTGGATCACGAGGTCAGGAGTTCAAGACCAGCCTGGACAGCATGGTGAAACCCTGTCTCTACTAAAAATACAAAAATTAGTCAGGTGTGGTGGCACATGCCTGTAATCCCAGCTACTCGGGAGACTGAGGCAGGAGAATCCCTTGAACCCAGGAGGTGGAGGTTGCAGTGAGCTGAGATTGCCCCATTGCACTCCAGCCTGGATGACAGTGAGACTCCAGCTCAAAAAAAGATTTTAAAGAGGCTGGGTGTGGTGGCTCATGCCTGTAATCCCAACACTTTGGGAAGCTGAGGTGGGTGGATCACCTGAGGTCAGGAGTTTGAGAGCAGCCTGACCAACATAAACCCCATCTCTACTAAAAATACAAAAATTAGCCAGGTGTGGCAGCGCATGCCTGTAATCCCAGGTACTTGCGAGGCTGAGGCAGGAGAATCGCTTAAACCCAGGAGACAGAGGCTGCGGTGAGCCAAGATCACACCATTGCACTCCAGCCTGGGCAAAAAGAGCGAAACTCCATCTCAAATTAAAAAAAAAAAGAAAGAAATTAAAAAAGGAGCACACACCTCAGAACTGTCCCAGCCAAGAGGCAAGGGAGCTGGGGTATTTATACACTGGCTTCTTTCTGGCAGACCTCAGCCAGTCCTGACTTTTAAAGCAAGCAAGAAGTGGGAGAATTTGGCCAGGAAAGGGTTATTGCCTAAGTGCACTGTGAGTGTTACCTTGTAGAAGATGAGAGTACCTGTTGAGTCCTCCTGGTCTCTGCCAGTCCCCAGGATGTGCCAGGTACTCCAATTGGGAGTCCTGGCACCAACCAGTCAGAACCCAGCACTCAGCAGCATCCTGCCCCTCCCTGACTGTGCCCACATTAACCCTTCAGTGTCTGGGTCTGGTGGGTAAGATCTGGGGGTGGGGTGAGCAGGGGGAAAACCCAGGCAGGCCAGAGACACACTCCTGGGACTGAGTTCTGAACCAGCAGTGTGGAAGCAGTGCGTCCACCGTGGTCCACACTCAGGGACCAAGTCGCCCTTGGACACATTTTCAGTTAAATCTTTGCCTGTCCAAACTGTAGCCGCTTGCTCTCTAAAGCCCCGAAATGAAATGGAATCAAGTAGGAAGGGATGCCTTCGGTATTTCAGCATTTGGACCCCTGGCTGTCTGCAGGCAGACTGATGGCAACGCTGGTTCTGAGGATCTGGGGCACGGGAGCTGTGCGTTGAGGGAGTGGATAGACTGAATTAAGAAGCCCGGAGGAGGACCCGGGTGGGCAGAGAAAGAGGTTTCAGGCCTCTTACTTGGGAAAGGCAGCCACAGAAGATTCTGTCCGGGAGTGGATTTCCACTCACTCTCCCCACCCAGTGACCCCCAAGTGGATCCTCAGAGGCACCCCCAGGCCCTCCTTCCCCACTCCTCCCCAGGGGGAGGGAAACCCATTGGGAAGGTTTATTTGCAGTGGCTGGAGGTTTTGCTTTAGTCTGTGTTGTGGTTTTTCCTCTTTTTCTCTCGCTCCTCCTGTCTCCTTTTCTCCTGGGCTTGTGAAGTTTGCTCAATATGGAATGTCCTAATTATTTCTTTCCCCGATGAAGAAGGTGTTAATTGAGGCAGAGCTATTTCTGCTTCTGGCCTCGTCACCCAGGCGGAAATTCGAGAGAGAGACAGAGAGAGAGAGAGAGAGAGAGAGAGAGAGAGAGAGAGAGAGAGAACGCAAGCACGCACAAGCAGGGTCCCTTGGAAAAATCAGCCGTGAGCAGAGAAACCAGGACTCCTGGATCCTAGGTTTTTGTGAGGTTTTATTTTATTTTTTCTACCCAAGACTACCTAAAGGAGAAGAAGCCATGGGGTTGGCTTAGGTCCGAGTGGGCTTTTGAGGGGACAGAAGTGGGCGGTGCCACCAGAGGGGAGGAAGCCTCGATTTAGGAGAAAAACTGAAAAGCTAGCTCACGATTAAAAATATAAGACGTGTGAGTAAGAGACAGATATATACAGACACCCAGGCAGCGGGTTAATTTTAAAATGTATTTATAACCAAATTCCTCAGACACTCTGGACGGTTGTTTTTCTAGAAGCAGTGCTCAGAGTGTTTCGTGTCGGTGGTTGGGGGGTTGAGGGGGATTGCAGCGCTGCTAAAGATAGACCGTTTTCGGTAGCGTTCCTCCGCGTCGGGAGCCCAGTTCCTGTGCGCCCAGCACCGTGCCAATCGCTCAGAAGGAAGCAAAGATGAAGTGGAAGGCTTCCTGCTTTCTAAGAGCTTCTAAAATAGAGGAAACAAGACCCCTCATTTGCAGCCATTTTTAACAGTGAAGGCTAATGTGTGATGATACCCACGCCCCCCTAAATAGGGAAATTCAGTAGCTATTGTATGCCTGAAAGGGGCCGGGTGTGGTGGCTCACACCTGTAATCCCAGCCCTTTGAGAGGCCCAGGTGGGAGGATCCGTTGAGGCTAGGAGTTCAAGACCAGCCTGGGCAACATAGCAAGACCCTGTCTCTACTAAAATAAAAATTAGTAAATTAGCCAGGAGTGGGGGTACATACCTGTAGTCCTGGCTACTCAGGAGGCTGAGGAAGAAGGATCTCTTGAGCCCAGGAGCTGGAGGCAGCAAGGTTGCAGTGAGCTGTGGTCATGCCTGCACTCCAGCCTGGGTGACAAAGTGAGACACTGAAAAAAAAGGAAGGGAGGAAGGGAGGGAGGGAGGGAGGGAGAAAGAAAGAGAAGAAGGGAGGGAGGGAAGAAGGAAGGAAGAGAGGGAGGGAGAGAGGGAGGGAGGAAGGAAGGGAGGGAGGGACAGAGGGAAGGAAGGGAGGGAGGGAGGAAGGAAGAGAGGGAGGAAGAGAAGGAGGGAGGGAGGAAGAGAGGGAGGGAGAGAGGGAGGAAGGAAGGGAGGGAGGGAGAGAGGGAGGGAGGAAGGAAGAGGGAGGAAGAGAAGGAGGGAGGGAGGGAGGGAGGGAGGAAGAGAGGGAGGGAGAGAGGGAGGGAGGGAAGGAGGGAAGGAAAGAAAAGGAGGGAGGGAAGAAGGGAGGGAGGGAGAGGCTGAGGCTGGGGCTGGTTAACTGGGCTACACGAGAGGCTACAGGGCGGTTGGGAATTGAGCCAGACTTGGACCTGGGGTGGAGACAGGGAAGATGACAGGCAGAGGTGCTGTCCCCAACAGTAGTTGTCATTTGTTATAGGAGCCCATGGATTTATGTAGCTCTCTGCTCTGAGCCTTATGTTTAGAAGATTTTTGCCTTCCAACCTGTATTTATTCGATAGCAGTTCGTGTACCAGGTCCAGCACAAGTGAGGAAGGTGTTTCCCACCACTCCAGTTCATGGCGAGGCTAGACTTGGAGTTTGTATTCAGCCAGAGCTTGAAAGGCCGAAATTCATTCACTCAGCACTGGGCTGTTTCCCTCTGCTGCGTGCACAGTCAGGGGAGCAGAGAATCGGCGCTGCGAAGTCTGTAGCACATACATCGAGAGACATTTTTGTTGAGTAGGAAGCTTGAGTTTACACACACTCAGCTGTTTGTTTTCTTGTCCAACAAGGCCACAGTCGTCTTTGAAAACCTTCAGAAGCATCACTCACAAAATAAGGTCCTCTCAGACCCGCTGTGCTGGTAAAGTGAGGACGCTCCCAGGACGTGAGCTTCCCTGCCTCCGCACCCCGTCAGCACCTTAGGAAGGGGCAGGGAGGCAGGACTGACCTTTAGCGTGCAGCCCGACTGCCACCTCCCAGGAAGCTGCCTTTGGTTTCCAGCCCAAGGGGTGTCTGTTGGCATGTTTCTCTCTCCTTGTGGCATTTTCACAGTCTGCCTCCTGCTATTTGGGGAGAAAGCTCAGCTCCTGTTCCTTACCCTTAGGCAAGGGTAGGAACTGTGTGTACTGGTGTCCCTCACCCCCTGAACAGCTCTCTGAGCCCAGTACATCCCAAGAAGAAGAAAAAGAAAAATCAGCAAGCCTTACAGGACAATAACACAGCGCACTTGACAAATCCGTCCTAATGGATGTCGGAAGAATTGCTGCCCTTACCAGCTGCACTATGCACGTAGCACATTTACTAAAACTGACTATATTATGGACCGTAAAGTTTGTCTCAACAGAGTTCACAAAGCTGAAAAAATACAAAACATGTTCTCTGGCCACAATGCAGTAAAGCTGGAAATCAGTAACAAAAAGAGGACTCTGAAAGTGTTTGCAGATTAAGAGACACACATCTCATTTATGGATGAAATAATGCGAAGTCTGAGCTTCTCTTTAAAAATATTCCAGGCTGGGTGCAGTGGCTCATGCCTGTAATCCCAGCACTTTGGGAGGTCGAGGTGGGCAGATTACCTGAGGTCAGGAGTTCGAGACCAGCCTGGCCAACATGGTGAAACGCTGTCTCTACTAAAAATACAAAAATTAGCCAGGTGTGTTGGTGGGCGCCTGTAATCTTAGCTACTCAGGAAGCTGAGGCAGGAGAATCTCTTGAACTGGGGAGTCGGAGGTTGCAGTGAGCTGAGATTGCACCATTACACTCGAGCCTGGGTGACAGAATGAGACTTTGCCTCAAAAAAAAAAAAAAAAGAAAAAAAAAATAGTTTGGTGGCAAGGCAAAGCATTTGGAGGAGATGTAGATGAAACAAGATTGGCTGGAAGTAAGTAGACAAGTGTCTAAATTGGTGATAGGGACATGGTGAATCATTATACGATTCTATACCTCTGTCTCTCTCTGTCTCCCCCCGCCTCCCCCTCCCTCCCCCCTCCTCCCACTCCTTCTCTTCCTCTCTCTCCCTCTCTTCCTCTGTTTTCATATATATATACCTAACAAGTTATTTTAAAAAGAAATACATCTAAGTTACCCATAGGTCAAAGAAGAAATAATGGTGGAAAGATGACTTGAACAATAAAGATAATGCATGACAAGATTTATGAGATGCAGGTAAAGCCACACTTAAAGGCAATTTATAGCCTTAAAGTCAGTTAATCCATCCATCTCAAAGGTTTGGGAAAAGAATAGCAAAAAAAGAAAGAAAGAAAAGAAAACTCATGGAAAACAGAAAGAGAAACGGAGTAAAGCTTAGAGAAGAAATTAATCAATAGAAAACAATTAATAGACCCTCAAAGCCAAACATAGATTTCTTTGAAGGCTGATCCAACAGCATCGTAGAGTCACTGGTCCCTATACCTCAGAGCTGGTGTTCCCTGCTCCTTCCTCTGACTTTTCCCCCCTTCTCTTTCATAGATGACATTCAGGGTGAGTCTCCGGCTCCATGTGGGACAGAAGAACCCGCCCGCACCTGCCCCAATGGGACCAAATGTCAGCCCTACTGGGAAGGGCCCAACAACGGGATCACTCAGTTCGACAACATTCTGTTCGCAGTGCTGACAGTTTTCCAGTGCATAACCATGGAAGGATGGACTGATCTCCTCTACAATGTAAGTGATGCTGGGGCGGCGTGTGTGGACAGTCGGAGTTTTGGGGAGGTGGCCTCCTGGGACCAGTGAGACCCCAAGGCTGCAGTGGAGGGACGCTGACCTTGGAAGGGCAGCCCAGGGACAACACAGCCCCAGTGAAGCTGTCCCGAGGCCCAGGCTTTTGAAGATGACAGGGACTCATAAGCAGAACCCTTAACTCTAGGGCCTGGAAGTCTGGAGGGCCCCCAGATGTGACGTCATTTTTCATCATGCAAGTGTCTAGATATAATTTTAGATGTTTTAATATGGAAAGGTTATGTGATCCAAAAATCAACGTAGATAAAAAATAGAGTAGGCCGGGCATGGTGGCTCATGCCTGTAATCCAAGCACTTTGGAGGCCAAGGCGGGCGGATCACCTGAGGTCGGGAGTTCAAGACCAGCCTGACCAACATGGTGAAACCCCGTCTTTAAAATAAAAAGAAAAAAAGAAAAAAAAAGATAGAGTAATATCTTGGACATAGGCAAGGGGGCCCTGCCCTGAGGCTCACCCGGCCCTCCTCCAGCCGTGCCACTCCCATGGGATGAGAAGTTCCTGGAGCCAAGGGGACGTGTCTACCAAGAGCTTGTGCCCCACTTTCTAGACCATGTTTTGAGTCACCGGGATCCCGGAATTCCCTGCCCAAGCCCAGATTCCATGAACTTGCATGAGATTCCCATGTGGGTCTGTTCGTAACCCAGGGACATCTGAGGGTCGGCTGTTGGCACAGATGTGGCTGGAGCTTGGACGTACAAGCTAGAGTGCCCACACACGTGTATGGAGGCCCTCTGGCAAGACAGAGCTGTAACTAGGAAGAGAAGGAGACAGGGCTGGCTCTCCCTACACCTTGACCCAATGCAGATATCTGGTTTCTAAATTCCACCCTGACCTTCCAGAGTGTAAAGGAACATATGTTTGTGAAGTGAAAGAATAAAAGGATGTTTTATTTATTTTTTATTTTTGAGACGGAGTCTTGCTCTGTCACCCAGGCTGGAGAGCAGTGGCACAATCTCGGCTCAACCACTCGGCAACCTCCACCCACTGGGTTCAAGCGATTCTCCTGTCTCAGCCTCCTGAGTAGCTGGGACTACAGGCATGTACCACCATGAGACTACAGGCATGTACCACCATGACCGGCTAATTTTTGTATTTTTAGTAGAGACGGGGTTGCACCATGTTGGCCAGGCTGGTCTCGAACTCCTGACCTTGTGATCCACCCGCCTCGGCCTCCCAAAGTGCTGGGATTACAGGCGTGAGCCACCGCGCCCGGCAAGCATGCTTTATTTAGTTACCTTTTAAATATTTCCCCATAGTATGCAGTCTCTTTTTGTACTCTTGCCCTAGATCTTAAAAATGTTAGGGATGTTTCTGGAAAGATGTGTATCTCCACCTGCCCCACTTCCATTCTATTTCCTGTCCCCCCAATATCCAACCCCTTTAGTTCCTCAGCATATCCTTCCAATGTTTGTTTATGCAATTATAATTATAAGTATAATTAAATTGACATCCTCCTCCTCTTTCTTACCCCAAGGAGTAGCAGTCTACACATGCTGTTTAATTCTGTGATTCTTTTTTCTCATAACCACACATTGTAGAGACCTTTCTGTTGCAAAACATGGACAGTCTCTTCACGGGTGCACACCAGTACGCCCAGCTAATTTTTGTATTTTTTGGTAGAGACACGGTTTTTCATGCTGCCAGGCTGCTCCGGAAATCCCAGGCTCAGGCGATCCACCCGCCTCCACCTCCCAAAGTGCTGGGATTACAGGTGTGAGCCATCGGGCCTGGCCGTCTTTATTCTTTTGTGTGGCTGCGTGGTGTTCTGTTGTGTAACTGTGGGTTGGAGGGTGTCCATTCCCAGAAGTGGGATTGCAGGGTCAGAGACTAAATGTGTTTATAATTTGAGTTTTGGGGGAGGTTTTTTTGTTTTGTTTTTTTTTAGAGACAGGGTCTCCCTCTGTCACCCAGGCTGGAGTGCAGTGGTGCAATCATAGCTCACTGCAGCCTTGAACTCCTGGGCTCAGGTGATCCTCCCACCTCAGCCTCCTTAGTAGCTGGGACCACAGGCGCATACGACCATGCCTAGCTAATTTTTTAATTTTTATAGAGATGGGTTCTCACTATGTTGCCCAAGCTGATCTCAGACTCCTGGCCTCAAGCAGTTCTCCTGCCTCAGCCTTCCCAAAGTGCTAGGATTATAGGTGTGAGCCACCACACTCAGCCTATGTGCGTTTATAATTTGGATAGATATCTAGGTGTGCAAGTTTTGAACCATCCCTCCCCCATCCTCACCACAGTACACCTTCCCTCACCTGCTATGCAGGTGAGCAGTCCCCAAGCAGGTCACCCATTAGCAGCTGGAGTGGGGCAGAGCCAAGGATTCAGGATCAAATGCAAGATGCCACAAATGTAGTGACCCCATAGAACCCCCTGGGGCCACCACTCCACACACACAGCTCTGTTGACTCCTGGAGGTCTCCTCTTTGTCTGCCCTAAGGGCTGAAATTACCATTTAAGTTTAGGCCAGGGGTTCACCTGCCCAGGGAGCAATACCTGGCTTCCTCCTGTACATAGAGAAGCTGAACTTTCCTTTTGGTCCTAGTGTATATTCCCTAACAACCTACTTATGCCTAGTGTTCCATTATTGGCATGTTCCAATAATGGAACGCTAGGCTTGTGGGAGTTATTTATATCCTGCTGCTCAAGGTCATCGCCAAGGTCTGATTTTTCACACACAAAAAAATTTGCACTCCAGCCTGGGCAACAGAGTGAGACTCTGTCTTAAAAAAAAAAAAAAAAAAAAACTTATCCTGGCCCAGGGTGATCTCCATGTAAACCAGATTCCCTAGCCTGAATGGTGTTCCTTTTAGAAACATGCATGAATTTTTCATCATAACAACTCCAGCAGTGCCTGAGGATGTGGAGTGAGGTGTGGGGGTCTTACTTTATTCCCCACCCTGGCCCTGCTATTAACCACTAACTCAGAATAGCCTTCTAGCACTTTCCACACATTCACATCCCACCTTTGTCCCTTGGGTAGCAGCCTATGCAATGATTTGGTCCTAATGTGAACCTAGAGTACAGCTTCTCACCTGGGGATGATTTCTGCCCCCAGGGGACACTCTGCAGTGTCTGCAGACATTTTTGGTTGTCAAAACTGAGTGGGAAGGAGGATGCTATTGGCATCAAGTGGGTGAAGCCAGAGGTGATGCTCAACATTCTAGAATGCACAGCAACCCCCACCCCCGCCCCACCATAGAGAATGATCCAGGCCCATATGTCAGCAGGGCTTCTGTCTGGAAACCCTGGCCAGAAGACGGAGGTTCCTTGAGGACAGGGGTGCCTTACACTGCAGCCACCTGTCACTCTCTGCCTCTCTCTGGGGCTGCTGTGACCACTTGGCCTGCATGAACAACCCCTAGGAGCAGCCCCCAGCCAGTGCCTGGAGAAGTCAGTGGATCAATACCCCAGCTCCCTCCCCATCAGGTGTTTTGCTCTGCCCTGTGTCTCCCCAGTGGGATCAGGCTCTGGTCGCCCACAGGGTTAACCTGGTCACTTATACACTCTCCACTTGCCACCTTCCCTTCCTGTCCAGTGTTTCCTGGGATGAACTAGATTCATTTCCTGGGGCTGCTCTCATGAAGCACCACAGACTGGGTTGCTTAAAACAATAGGAATTTATGGTCTGCCAGTTCTGGAAGCCAGAAATTCAACCTCAAGATGTCAGCAGAGCTGACAACACGGCCCTCTGGCTCTGAGGGAGGACCCTTCTTTGCCTCTTGCTGGCTTCTGCTGGTTTCCCACAATCTTTAGGATTCCTTGGTTTCCAGAATCTTCATTCTCCACTCGAGTCTTCTGTCATCAGATAGCATCTTCCCAGGCCAGGCACGGTGGCTCTCACCTGTAATCCCAGCGCTTTTGGAGGCCGAGGCAGGTGGATCACTTGAGGTCAGGAGTGTGAGACCAGCCCGACCAACATGGTGAAACCCCATCTCTCTATTAAAAATACAAAAATTAGTCAGGCGTAGTGGGCGGGCTCCTGTAATCCCAGCTACTTGGGAAGCTGAGGCAGGAGAATCACTTAAACCTGGGAGGTGGAGGTTGCGGTGAGCCAAGCTCATGCCACTGCCCTCTAACCTGGGAGACAGAATGATACTCCTTCCCCCCCAAAAAAACCAAAATAGCATCCTCCCTTCATGCATCTGTGTCTCTTCTCTTCTCAGAAGGACATCAGTTAATATTGGATCAGAACCTTCCTACCCCACTCCAACCTAATTTTAACTAATTACGTCTGCAATTAATTACCCTATTTCCAAATCAAGTCACAGTCTGAGGTACCCGGGGTTAGGACTTAAACTTTCTTGTGTGCAAAGCAGGAGGACACAATTCCGTTTATAACACCTCCTAAATAAACTACTTGCACGTGAACTCTTGTCTGAGGCTTCCCAAAGTAAGATAACCCCTCTCTCCACCCCAGAACAACCAGCAGCTCTGCCAGCACCAGGGTGCAGGGGCTGAGGTGCCCATCTTTGACTTTCTGCTGAGGAGGACACAGCTGCTCCGTTGAGGCACTGTTGGGCTCTGCCCTGGTGCCCAGCCATCTCCCTTGGGCTAGCCCTGCCAAGGGCTACAACCTGGGAGGTGGAGGTTGCAGTGAGCCAAGATCATGCCACTGCACTCCACTCTGGGTGACAGAGCGAGACTCCTTCTCATAGGAAAAAAAAAAAAATTAGCATCCTCCCTTCGTGTGTCTGTGTCTCTTCTGCTCTTCTTAGAACGATATCAGTTGTCCTTAGAAAGACATCAGTTGCCCAGGTGTGTCCTAGAAGTCGCCTCACTGATGGGCCATAGGCAAGCAGGGTGTCTGGGATCTTTATCCTCCATGACTGGTGCTGGGGCCAAAGCCAGTGGGTGTGGCCTTGCCAGCCAACTCCCTTTGCCCAGCTCCGAACGAGCTAGTAGATGAAATCCACAGAGTCCAGA